TTTGGGATATAGACAGGAAGCTAGTTCATAGAAACCTGGTAAGAATTACATGCGAAGACTATGAGCAGGAGCACCAGGAAGATTGAGGGTCGATCCCTTGTGTGTTTTAGGAAGGAAAGGCAAAGTGAGGAACTAAGACCACAGAGATCTTTAAGAGACAAACCAAGAGATACATGTCTGAGTGCTCCTCAAGGAGTAAGAACCCAGTCCCTGGATCTTCCTATTACCCACCCTCTTCTCAGTATTCACGGCTCTCTGCTCTGTTGGTCTTTATCATACCCAGCCATCAATCCTTGTCCCTGTGTGAATCCAGTAGTCCACTTTCTGGATTGCTTGAAGAGAGACTACATACTGAATAGGAAATCCATTATAAATGCATCGCTGTGTACCTTGGTTGAATCATCAGCACATTTTTCAATGTCTATTTAGAACATTCAATTCTCCAACTTCCCACTTTTTCTCAGATTTCTCCAAATAATAAATTAATTGGGCAAATATTTCCTTAGCTCCCAGCCTCAAACAGTACCTCCTACTTTATAGAGAAAACAGAACATGTCAAGATAGCCTTAGGCCTCAACACCCATTACTTCCTGATTTCCTATTATGACAATGGAATTGAGGCTTACTCTGTTCTAGGTCAGTATTTTTGGTCTGTAGAGCCCATTCCTATCCTACTGGTCCCATTATCTGGAGCTTCTGTGTAATCCCTTATGCCTTACCTTCAGTAATAAAATACATTCATTTTGATAGAACCGTGCATGTTCCTTTTAGTGTCGGTCACCTTTAGCTTCTCTATTCGCCCCACCCTGTGATGACGTGTGAGAGTTGTGTACATGCACTGAGTGTACCTGCTGCCTGCTCACTTCTGTATCTCTACTCACTCATTTCATCCGCACCATTCTAGATAAAGTCACCTGTGTTTGTCATTCTTCTCGGCCATCTTCAACTCCCTTGCCCGCTCTTCACCTTCTGTCACTTCTTTCCAGTTGCCCAACCCTGGAAACACTGCTGACTGTGACAGTCCATTTGCATGCTTGTTTTAAACATTGAATAATGCACCCAAGACTCAGTTTTAGCTGATTGTATTCTGGGAGCCTATTGTTGCCAACATTTTTTAAATTATTTTTTTATTGGAAAGTCTGAGATATACAGAGATCTTCAGTCCGCTGATTCACTCCCCAAGTGGCTACAATGGCCAGAGATGAGCCAATCCGAAGCCAGGAGCCGGGAGCTTCTTCTGGGTCTCCCATGCATGTGCAGGGTTCCAAGACTCTTGGCTGTTGTCAATTGCTTTCCCAGGTCACAAGCAGGAAGTTGGATAGGAAGTGGGGCTGCCGTGATACAAACTGCTACCCATATGGACTCCAGGCATTTGCAAGGCAAGGACTTTAGCTGCTAGGCTACAGTGCTGGACCCAACTTTATTTTTTTTAAAAGATAGCACACAATTCCATGTTAAATACTGTGATTTTTTTTTTAATTGGTAACAAGGTTGGTAGAAAAAAAAGTGCTCATATCCAAAATTGTGTCTGAATTCATCCTACGTATCTGCTTGCAGCTTCTGATCTAGGGTGTTGGATAGCACTCTCAGTGATTCTTTCTTGTATCTTGAGGTTTACACAGACTATCCCTGTGGGTTCATCTCTGCTGTACTCCAAGTGTGTGGCAGTGTCCTGCATATATATAAATTTATATATATATTGAATAGCTTTCTCCCACTGTAGTTTTCCTGCTATTATTCGACCCAGTGGTTGGCAAAACATTTTGGTCACATTCTTAAATTCGTTTCTGTCAGAGGTCTGCTATTGTAGTTTCCCAGCTCTTAGGTGCTGCTATTCTTGGTATTTTAGGGTTTCCAACTATTCTAGATGCAGTCTGCTGTGTCAGATATTGGTCATCGCACTCCTCCAGTTGCCTTAACATCACTTTTTCTGGTGTCATCCCTTCCTAAAACGTCACATTCCCAATGCATGAAAAAATGGTTTCACTGTCTAAAAAGTGAAAAGGATTAGCTGAAGACTGTTTCTTCCACAAACCAGACAGCATAAATGAAGGTGAATAAGGACTTTTCTGTTACTGAATGCATTCATGCAGAGGTAAGTTGTTGGAAAAATCATTGAGAAAATACTTGCATGAAGCTGCTGGTGATGTAGAATAACTCCCAAAAAGAAGGGAATGCATTTTCAGCAGAAAGAGCTGATCAAGCAGTTAAGAACAGAGGTTCTGGAATAGAGTTCCCAGTTTCCATGTTTCGTTAAGCTGAGCTGTCTGACCACACTATTCAGCACCCCTGCCCTGTGGCTTGATTTCTCCACCTTTAAAATGTGTTCATACAGGGATCGGCCTTTTATAAAGATGCACATGAATTGATGTTTCAGATGCTTAGAACAGGTGTCTAGCCGACCGCAAGCCTTCAGCTGTTACCTGTTCTTCAGGTGGTAGCCATCAGTGTTGTATGTGGTCAGGATATGGAGGGAGGTGGATTAAAAAAAAGGAAGGTTTTGATGATAATTATCGATGAAAGTCTCAAAGATTTTCCTGAAAATATTAGACCTTTACTCTAGACGTTTACTCTGCACCAGGTGCTCAACATTTATGTATAAAGTTACAGGTGTTGTAATATAGAAGGAAAACTCCCTGGTAATGACGTTATTAGGTTATCAAAGCTAGCAAAGTGCAAGTGGGAAAGGTAGGTCCTTGGAAGCAGAAAGAGTACGACGTGGCAGAAAATAGGCTGAGAGCTGGAGAGAAGGCATGAAACGTCAAAAGAAACAAAGTGGGGGTTAAAGCTGTCAGATGAAGGCACCTCTTACCGAAGCACGGCATTTAAAATGGACTCTGTAAACAGGAGGAGCTAAAGAAAGGTGTGAGCACCAGCTGATGTTCACAAAGTGCTCAACCCTCTGGCTTCACTCATCTGGGCCAACTCAGTTTCCTTAGGAAAGGGATGGCTGCCTCAGAATTCCTTACGGCGGAGGGTAGCACAGCTTTCTAGGCAAACCGAATCTAGAAGATTCTGAAAAGAAAATGGCACTTGTACATTAAGAGGTGAAATTGAGTTTTCCATACATACAATTTTAAAGAAAGTTTTTTTTTTTTTTTAACTTGGGACATGAGGTTTTATCACAAATAGAAACACCTGGTCATTTGTGAGGCTGTGTAAGTGAAACCCACTGTGAGTCTGGCTTTGTGGCTCTATCCCATCGCCTCTGAGAGGCTCCTTCCTTTACCCAAGGGCCGTTCATGATGTTTAGCACAGCTTTAGGTACTTGGGATACAGTAAAAGATTCCTGTCCTCAGCAGGCTCACGTTTCTCTGAGATGCAGACAATAAAAAGCTGAGGAAAATAAATTACATGAAGCCTTGGGTGTTAGTGAAACTTAGAAAAGCAAGGTGAGGAAGGAAAATTAGCAGTGGCCATTCATGAAAGGAATTACAGGAGGCTAATAAGGTACAAGAGGATTTCACGCAGAATAAAAGGAACCATAAAACCCCCTGCTTTATGTTATTAAATTCATGACAAATTGTGGTGACTTCAAAGTCCTCTTGCTACACATAGAGCTCCACTACCAAAAAACAAAACAAAGCAAAACAAAACAAAACAAACCCTGAAAAACTGTATGCGTATACATAGCCCTGCATACAGTTAATAATACTTGTGAACAAACATCTGGATATGATATGTAAAACCAACTTTATTATTTTTTTATAAAGCCAACTTTAAATAGCGCGATGTGGAGGCGGTTTAAAATGAGTTGGAACGCCTTCTCCCTCTATATCCACAATAAACAATTCCAGGATTTGGCGGTGGCAGTGGTGTGTGTGTTGGACACTGTTCCTGGCTTGGAACAGAGCTATCCAGGACCCTATTCTTCTACAACCTGTCCCAATAACAGCCCAACCCAATAGGAACCTCAACCTTTTTTCCCCTTTCTGACCACAAAAACAACCCCCCCCCCCCGCCCTCGTATCAGAGTGTCCTGTCTGCTCCAGGACGGCCACATGCTCCATGGCCTGTCTCCAGGAGAAGGATGCCACCTACCGAAGCATCCGCGTCAGCCAGCCATTCCTGCAAAATGCCGCAACACTTGGCTCAACCCCGCGAGCCCCCAAGTCCTCACCTTCGGATTATTCTTTGCCCGTTATTAAAAGAAGAAAAGCAAAGCCACAATTCGGGCCAACAGATATGTGATACACGCTTCAACATACTGTAGCCTTCTTAACAGTGAAGCCAAATTTCAGCTGCCTCTTTTTTTTTCATGCCTGCCATTTTCCTTAATTGCTTCTTCACGATGGGAATGCCCGTGCATCTTTGCGGCCCGCGCACGGCGGAAACCGCTAGTGCAAAACGCGAAGGGACTGCGGCGCCCGGAGACTTGGGAGTCCTCAGGGGGCGACAGAGACAGGCGAGCTAGTGACCACGGACGTGGCACAAGAAACCGGGGTGTCGCCGCGGGCTTGGCAACATGCAGAGCCGCGGCCCCCTGCGACGTGCGTCCCCAGCTAGGCCTGCCCGTGGGGCGAGGGGAGCGGGGGGCTGCTCAGAGCAAGGCAGCAATCACTGCAACTCCTCCGTTCGTGCGGAGGTGGCCGCCGCAGCTGGCGCTGCAGAGGCGCATCCCACCCCCCCCCGCCCCCGCAGCCTCGGCGCGGGAAGGCGTGGGGTCGGCCGCGAGTGGGCAGGGCGGCGGGAGGAGCCGCGCGTGACACTGGCCGCCGAGGCTCCTTCAGGCTGGACCCACGCGGCGTGGAGGACCTAGAAGGTCAGTGGGTCTCCTGTATGCTACTCCACAGAGATGACACAGAGAGCAGGACGCCCCCACACCCCCTCCTCCTCCCCTCACCACCAGGCCCGGCGCGCGGCGGGGAGGGCCGAGGGCGCGCGGGGGGCGGGTCTCGGAGCGGGGCGCCCCGCGCGGAGGGGGCGGGCCCGAGGCAGGGCGGGCCGGCGCGCGGCTGCCTGGTGCGCGGGCGGGCGCTGGCGCGGTCACCGCCTGCAGCCCCACGGTGCCGGACGCAGGCAGCGGTACATGGCCCCGACGGGAGGCGCGCCGACCGCACGCCCGAGCTCGGCTCCCAGCCGGATGAGCGCGGCGGCCTCGCCTCGAGCCTCGCGCGTCGTCGTCGTCGCCCCTCCGGGCGTGAGCGCGTAGCCTCCTTCCAGGGATCCCGATCTGTTGCCAAGATCTTCCTTCATGGAAGCGATGTCTCCCCAGCAGGAGACTCTAGGTGGACAGCCCGGGCGCTCGTCTTCCCTGTCGGGAGTGTCTCGGCTCGCCGGAGGAGGCTCCGGCACCAAGAAGGTGAGGATGCCGAGCTGCGGCCCCGCGCTCGCCGCCGCAGCCCCCACCCCAGCGCGCGCCCTCCGCGCCCGCCGCGGCGCACGAGCCCGACCCGCGGGGATTTAACGCTCAAGGCTCGGTGCCCGCGGCGCTCGGCCCCCGGACATTCCCGCTCCCCCACTCCTCCCGCTACTCCCGACGGGGCGAGCCGTCCGGGTCACCCCTGGAATAGCCCCGCAGCTTCTCCTTCGTATCTTAGCGTCTCCATTCCGTGGCGAGCGGACTCCGCAGCCTCCCTCCCCGCCTTCCTCCGCCGCCAGAGCGGCAGCCCCGCTCCTCCCTCATTCGGGGCGCGCGGGCCCCGATTTGGGGTCGCCCTCCCCTGCTTTCTCCCGGGGCTCCGTCCCTGGGTCCTCCGCGCTGGCCTGGGCGCTCACTGCCCCTTCCCGGCGTCAGCTCCGAAGTCGTCAAGGGCCGGTGCCGTCCGCCCGAGCGCAGCTGAATAAGGTAAGCGGCTGGACTGCGGCGCCCTCGGGCTCAGCTCCCTCACCTGGCGGCGGAGGTGCGGCTGCCAGGCAGTGGTTTGTGGCCCAGCGAGTGTTGCGGCGTCCCGGCCGACCGCCCTGGCTCGGTTTGGACTCCCTGAGGCGGTGGTCAGACCTGGAGGTGCTAACAGTTCACCCTGCGGGAACGCGGAGGTTTGGCTCCGCCGGGGAACGAGCCTGGGGGAGTTGTGGGTGGCGATGGGCAATGGTGGAGGTCGCAGGGGGAAAATGGGGGGGGGGGGGGCGGTTCGTCCTAAGCTCATTCCCCGGCCTTGGGAACTCGGCCCAGCCTTGGGAGGGATCCGGGTGTCGGTGGGGGCGTGGGGGCGGGTGCGCGTGTTCCCTGTCAGAGCCGGAGGAGGGATGCGGGCAACAACTTGTAGCGTTCCTTGCGATAAACACCAGCCGCGGTGCCGCGGGAGGATTCCGACCACGGTCAGGTTTCTTTGGAATGATTCCCTGAGCAAGTGCACGTGGGCCACCGCGGGAATACTGCCCTGGACTGGGCGCGGGGGGGGGGGGGGGATTGATTTGGGTGTTTCGAGCCTTGATCTCAAGCCGTGCCTGCCTCGCGTCTTCCTCCATGTGTGCACAAGACCTGCTGATCTTTGGCCATTTTTGTTTCTTGTCGTGGTGGTGCTTTGCCAGTTTCCAAGGATCACCTAGGTCTTAAGCAGTAGCTGAAGGCGTTGATTATGGCTAGCGACTCAAGGGTTTACGCAGGTTTCCCTGCTTGTCCTGATAAATCTTCCACCAGCATGGTGGGTTGGCTGGAGGCCAGTTGAAGAGCTGAGGTCCTGTGCCCAGTATGGAAGTAAACGTGAGCTCCCAAGGACCTTGAGAGTGCTGCAGAGCCAGCCAGGGGTGTCCGTGAACTTGATGATATATGGGCTGTAGTGCAGGCTCAGCCTTTGATGAATGGAGGCTGCGGTTTGTCCTTGTCGCTTTTCCCCTTCAGAGATGGAGAGAGGGAGGGAGGGCTGATGGGAAGCTCTGTGTGTGTGTAATCAAGTCTTCCCAAATAAAACATGTAAATGTACCAGATTAGCACTCCATTTGAGAAGATAATATTTAGGGATTGAGATGGAATTCAAAAATACATTTTTTAATTTGTGAATTTTAGAAATTGAAAAAAATAAAATTCATTTTTTCAGAACTTTTTTTTTTAAACTGAGTATAACTAAATGCGCTAGCAAAGACAGAAGACATTAAAGAGTAGCTTCATCGTTTATCAAGTACTACTTGTCCAATAAGTGAGGGCTTGCTTGGCCCCTTTCCCGGGTTCTATTTTGGTACAGCCACTGTCCCTGAGATGCTGTCGTTCATTATAGAATGTAGCGGGTTGATCCACTGCCAGAACAGTACCTGTCTCCCCAAGGTTGTAGAGGAAATTAAATGTGAAATTGAGTGAATACTGACTTGGAGTAGACATTCAATAAACATTACCACTCTGCAGTTCTTCCCATGTTTGTTGTGCATGCCAAAAATCTAGGATTCATTTTTAACTCCTCATTTCCTCACTTTGCAATGACCAGTCCGTAAGAGAAGCTACTCTCACTGTGAGTGCATCTGAATGTCTTGAATTTCTCCACTTCACTTCCAGTGCTATGGTCCAAGCCCAGCCATCACTGACTCTGACATGTACCTTAAAAACAAACCAACACCCTTTGTTTTTTATGGTACAATTCCATGGGCTCAGGGCTTTCCCTCTATCCTCTCTCTTTTCCGCTCCCTCACAACTGGTTTCCCCTATACTATTGCAATAGTATAGTTCTTCAGAGACCGTCAATCTCCATCATTCTGCTGTTTAAGTGTATCATGACATTGTAGCTGTAAACAATTGTAGAATCTGACTTGTACCTTTGCAGAAACTTCTTGCCTAATATCTTTCTTTCCACTTTGTATTCCAGTCTGCGCTTAGCAACATCAAAATGATCTTTTAAAATGTAAATTTATGAGGCCAACATTGTGGGAGTGCAGTGAGCTAAGCCACTTCTGGCAATGCTGGCATATAATAGGTGTACTGGTTCACATCCCGGCTGTTCCTTTTCTAATATGCCTCTCTGCTAATGCTTCTGGGAAAGCAGTGGAAAACGACCCAAGTCCTTGGGCCTCTGCACTCCAGTGAGAGTCCTGAGAAAAGCTCCTGGCATCAGCTTGGCCCAGCCCTGGCTTTTACAGCCATTTGAGGAGTGAACCAGCAGATGGAAGATCTTTCTTCTTAATCTGCCTGCCCCTCCCTCCCTCTCTTTCCCTCTGCTTTCCAAGTAAATAATGAATCTTATATAAATAAATAAGTAAATTGATCATGTTGCTTGCCTGCTTAAAATCCTTGTGCTGGATTTTGATCACATAGAATCAAAAATAGGCCTTTTGTTGGTTCTGTCCGTTCCCTCCTTGTCTGTATATTCTCTAACCTCATGAGCCTTCTTTTTTGTACACCTGTCATCAAACTCATTTCTCTTGAGGCTTTGGTTTTTTTGAAAGATTTATTTTTATTTATTTGAAAGGAGAATAGCAGGGAGTAAGAGGGAGGGGGGAAAGAAGAGAGAGAAGGCTAGGCGAAGGAACACAAAATCATGCTTGCATCCTCTGATACATTCCCCAAATGGATGCCAGAGTTAGGGCTGAATGAGCCTAAACCAGGAGCCCGGAACTCGACCAGGAACTCCCACAGTGATGGCAGGAGCCCAAGCACTTAGGCTGTCATCTGCTGCTTTCTCAAAAACTTTAGCAAGGAGCTAGATCTGAAGTGGAGCAACCATGACTCTAGCAGGGGCTCTGATATGGGATGCTGGTGTCACAAGTGGCAACTGAACCTATAGCTGTACAGTGCTATCCCCAACTTCCTCTACTTCCACTCAGTCTTAGCATATTGACTTGCTCATCTGAACACTTAAGTCCTCTCAGAGTCTTACCCCGACTACTTAAGTGGAAGTCACTCTTTATTCATGTTCTGTTCCTTCTGTTGCATTGTCATTTTAGCATTACACCTGCCGGGCGTCTTCTCACCCCCCCCCCTTTATTATATTGTTAACTGTGTCTCTTACAATACTATGAAAACTGTGAGAATAAAGCTCATACCTATGTTGTTCAGAGCTGTTCCCAGTGCCTAGAATAGTGTTGTTTATTGGGTGTTCCATAAATATCAGGTGGGTTATGTGCAGGAGTGAACAAGACAAGCAAGGTCTCTGCATACAGAATTTAACGGTAGAACAGGGTAAACAAACCTTTTCTTAAAGACCAACGAGGCAATGTTTTAGGTTTGCATGTTGTATGGTCTCTGTTAACAGCTCATCAGCTGTGCCACTGTGGCACTCAAGCGGATTTGGCAGTATGCGAGTAAGGGGTATAGCTGTAATCTAATGAAACATTATTTTGAAAAGCTGGCAAGGGATCCCTGCTGCGTAGTGTTCTGATGGCTGGGCTGTAGCCATGCTGTAGCAGTGCTGTGTTGAGAGGACTTTGTGCAAAATTGGAAAATACCTTTGTGTATAGGATCCCTGACATGTGGTTCTTGAGCTCTTAAAATATGACTGATAGATCTAAGGAGCTAGAATTCTTTGTAACTGCTTTATTGAAGTGTCACTGGCACACGCTAGTACTAAGTATATAAGCCTGTAAGTCATGACGTTATGTAATTGTAAAACCATCTCTGCCATCAAAGTGATGTATATTCTCATCATCAGTTTGTTGATGTCCCATTCTGACCATCTCATTCCATCCCCAACACTGACTGTCACTATAGATTCATTCTCATTCCAAAGAATTTATATCAATGAAATCATACTCTGTATTCCCGGTCCAACTCCCTGCTACATGCATCCGTAGTTCACTTCATTGCTGAGTCATACAGGTTGAATAGCCTCTGTTTGAATTGTTCAAGACCAGAAGTGTTTAGAAATTCAGAGTGTTTTGGATTTTGGAGTGTTTACAGAGGTAAAATAAGATACCTTGGAAGTCAGAAGCAGTCTAAATGCAATATTCATTATGTTACATGTACGTACAGCTTATAGCCTGAAGATAATTTTGTATCACATTTTCAGTACACCTGTGTGGTGGCTGATACATCACATAAGGACAAGTATGGCATCAGAGCCGAAAAGTCTCTGCATTTTGGAGCATTTGAGCAGAGCTAGTTGTATTCTCTCATAAGGGTTAAACCACAGTTTATGTCTTAACCTGTTACAAGGCCCTTGGATTACTTCCAGGTTTTGACTATTACAAATAATGCTGCTTTGAGCATCCATCTACAAGCATGTGCATGCATTTATATCCTCATTTCTTTTGAGTAAATACTGGAATGTGGAATACTTGAATTGCATTTTAGATATCTGTATTTAAGTGTGTGTTATATATATGTTTAAGAAACTATCCACTTCTTTTACATGATTGATTTTACATTCCCGCCAGTAGTGTGTAAGAGTTAAATTTCTTTTTTTGCCTGTACTTGTTTGTATTGGGTTTTTGTTGTTG